CAAGTTGGGTATTATTCTTTTTAAGATAAATATAAATGAAGAATGTTTCTTAACTTTTCAGTAGTGTAAACAAAGATAATACTCAACTATGGTATAATCTTTTCCTATCCTGTTGAATAAAACTTATACAAACATTTCTTTCTTATTCTACACAGATCAAATCATCCCGAATGCAAAAAACACCACCACATCTGACTGCTGCCAGATTCAATTCTCTTTAACACCCAAAAATACACCAGCAAAAATTTTATAATCTGTCAAATCACAACATACTGCATATATATTAAAGGCAACTGTAATTATAAATTTTAATTTAGTAGAATAGCTATTTAAAATGCACATTGTAAAACGCACATTCTATTTGAATTCACATTTTAAGTAAAGACTTTCATAAAAATATACTTAAATATTTTCAGCTCTTCTTCTAGATGTCAGGTCATGTCAGGTTGTAGGCAGTAATGTCTCTCCACAACCTCCTGTCTTTTGTAGCTTTTAATAAATTTTGTCTTTTTGTTATCTTTTCTAAATCTTGTTCCACCATCCATTTACTCAGATTCAAGGTAGGTTATGCATTATTTTCCACTGTCACCTCTTGTCTTCAATCTCTCTTATGAATGTCAGATTCTCCAAGTCCGCTTTCCTCATTATGTACCATAGAAATTTTACTTGTCTCTTCCTGGTGTTAAATAGAAATATCCTTTTGCTTTCATTTTTTTCTAAAACTTTGCTCACATGTTTAGTCCATCATATTCTCAGTATTCTTTCATAGAACCATATTTCTGTTACTTCAAGTCTCTTCTTCATCTGTGAGAAGATTGTCCAACCTTTACTACCATATTGGAGATGACTGATATTATCTAATAGTTGCATACTTTTTTCTTTTTTTCTAATAAAATTTTTCTATTTCTTAATAAGTTGCTCAACTTTTGGAAGTTCATTTTTTGCTATCCCAATTTGCCTTTGGGTTACTGCAGTGCACTTTCCATCCTCTGTTAAAACACTTCCCAGATATAAAAATTGTTTTTTGTTTTGTTTTATGGCATATCAACCTCAATCTGTTATTTAATGCCAACAAGATTTTTATTGCTGGTAAATTTTTTGTTCAAAAAATGTATTGCTGGTAATATTTTTTCTTCAAAGAAAGTATTGCTGGTAATTTTTTTTTCAAAAATGTATTGCTGGTAAAAACTTTTTCCTTCAAAAACTCACCACTGATAACAATCTTTTACAAAAATGCATTACAGGTACTAAAAGCTATCTTTACAACTTCATAGCGTTTTGACCCCACTTTTGGTGACAACTATTTGCCCATAGCTGGGACCCTAACGGGTGCTGCCACCTCAGGTCCGGGGGGACTTGGGAACACCAGCAACACTCAACACTCCTTAAAATCTCCTGGTCAGAAGCCTTGCTGTTGGATGTAGTTTATATCATCTTACCCAGGATTCTATAAAAATTGGTGTACTTGATTTGTATTTGATTTTGGATTCTCCAATTTGTAATTTGGGCTGTTCCTTTTGCTGACAATCATGCATTTTCCTTTCTTCACTCTTTTCCTTCACTAACTTTTCTAGGAGTTCTAGTAGTTTCCTTTCTATGTCTGCTATCAACATTGTGTCATCTGCATATCTTACATTAAGATTGTGACTGCCAATAATGAATCCTGGTAAGGCTTCTAATTCTCTCAGGATGGACTCACTGTATAAGTTGAATGAGTTTGGTGAAAAGACGCATCCTTGTCTGAATTTATTTCCTATACAGATGGTTTGCTGCGAGTATAGATTCTGGTTTATTCTATTCTCCTCCCCAAATATGCCAAGGTTACACTTCAATATAATTATTTAAAGCAAGTGTAATTATAAATTTTATTTTACTAAACAGCAATTTAAAATGGATGCACATTCTATTTAAATTTATTTTTTTAAGTAAAGATTTTAATAAAAATATACAAAACTATTTTTTAGTTATTTATTGAAACACTAGGATGATATTTTAATAATAAAAGCTTGCAATTTATTTATAATGTTACTCCAGTTTTATTCAGTGAATTTTACAAAAAATTCAACCTTGTGATAAGGAAATAAGATCATTGATGACATGAACACTTTCCTAAAAGTCAATATGTTGAGAAGACATAAAACTCCAAGAACTTAATTTTTTTTTTTAAAACACATGGCCTTGAGTTGATTTAGATGTCATCTAATGAATGTAAGCTGTTATCAATTTTTAAATTTATTTTTCTGCTCTTCTTGTGTAAAATTATCTTTGCTTGAGATTTTTCTTGCAGAATAGATATCTACAGAAACGGACATTTGGAGAAATGATGCCAAGAAACAATTCAAATAGAAACAAAAATACCCAAACATATGTAAAAGGTCACAAAGGTTTTCATATTGTAACTAAACATCAGTGGCTGAAAGATTCTGAAAGAATGGAATAATTACTAAATATACTGGCTATTATTATTACTGGGTTATTCGCACATTGTGTACCAGTAGATTTTGATGAATGCTGCTAGGTAGACTTCTATGCAGGACTATAAAACACTATAAGACCTGTTTCTCTATTTGTTCAGAGATGCAATAGCAACAACAATGAGACTCTTCCAATCCTTGGACAGACTGACTACTTAATTTCATACAACCACATGGCATATCTCACACACATGCTACAGTTAAGCATATAAATGTTTTTTTGACAATGATGATCACCCTGTGCAAGACCCAAGAGCCACTCAAGGTAGAAGGTTACAGAGTAAGAGGTACACTTTAGGCGGATATATGAGAGAGATAACAGTTAACCCTAGACTTGAACAGGATAAGAATGTAGTGATCAATGAAGCTTTCTCTTGGGAGTTGGTTCTATTATGTAGGGATTTGTGGGAAGAAGCTGCTTGTGTGTAACTTAATCTCACCTATAGAATATGAAGGGAATGAGGGACGTTTGCTACAATATACATGGCATAATGGGTATTAGCTATAAAGGTTAGTGTTGTATTGTGTTGTTCTATAATATATGATCAGTAGTCAACTTCTTTTTATAAAGTGCTGAAATTTTAATGAAAGTCAAATTCTCCAATTGTTTGGGGTATTCCATAACAGAAATTTTCGTTATAGTTTCATAAATAGCCAAAGCTAGAAATAGATCAGTTATTTCATTTTCTCCCCCACTTTCCTGGTTCTTTCAAGTTTTAGCCCTAGCTTGAGCTGCAAAACCCTGGAGCCAAGTCTCAACATCTTCTGGTTCATCTAAGCAATTTAAACATCCTATCGGTGATGCTATAGTTAGAACTGGTGGAACTATGGAATGTAGTAAGTCTGAGAACTTTCTATGGAAATAGCAATAGATTAATGAGAGGCTTCCTTTATTTTAGTTATCTGTACACCTGTAAATATAATTTTCTTATTCTTTTCTTTCCTGTGCCATATTCGGTTTTATATAAAAATATATATGTATAAAAAATCCTCCTTGTGTTGAATTCATTTACTTTGAAGAGCAACAACCTTGTATGTTACATTGTCTGCTTTATATTTCAAAATAATTCTTATACACTGTAAGGAGAATAAACATTTATTCTGAGAAATATATTTGCAAGTAATCAAATCAAATTATGGCACTACTGAGAGAAAATGGATCGCTTTAAAAAGTCAGGTATTTTTCTTAGTATTGAATTAAAAACTTTTAAAGTTATCAAAAATTAGTGTGGAATCTACAGTTTGGTAAAAATTGGAAACTGACAGTATCAGTAGTACACAGTTAGTAATGACATGTGCACAGTTTAAAATCTGATATTTGTAAATAAAAACAAGGTAATGATAACTCTAAAACATCAGGGATTTATGTGATACTGGAGTTTTATCCTGAGCAGGACTTCCCTTCTAAAATGATAAAAACTCAATATTTTTTTTTTTTTTTTTTTGTGAGTAGAAGAATGTCTAATCAGTGTGAATCAACAACATTTGGTCACAAAATGTTTTCATTATTTTTTATTAGTAGACTATTTTCGCTCAATAGTGCGCACTCCAAGTAAAGAATATAGTGGTCTAAGAATAAAATATTTTGAAGTAATCTTGTTATGAATGAATATAAGATCATTCTTTAAATAATTTTAATTTTTAAGAATATTTAATATTTACTGACAGTACCTATGAAAATTTGGTAGTTTTTCTATTTGAATTTTCCAGTGAACCATAAGTTTTAATTTAAAGATTTAATATGTTTCTTATGATTTACACAACTTTAAAATACCCATGGAAATCGTTTGTTTGTTTGTCTGTTTAGTGTCATATCAACTCTTTATGGGTTATTTAATGCCAAAATTTAATTTTCTTGGGAGTATTAGTAATTTATTTTATAAAAATGTATTACTGGTAAATTTTCTTTCAAAAATCTATTGTTGATAAATTTTACTATGAAAATGTATTGCAATATTTTCATTGTGTTTAAGGGATTAACTATTTGCCCATAGTGGAACTCTAACAGGTGCTAACATTCTGGGTCAGTATGGACCTAGAAACAACAGTAACTAAGAGGTGGTTCCACCCTCAGCAAAACCTCCTGATCAGTGGCCTTGCTGCCAGAGAGAATTTATTGTCATGCTCAGGAAAACTCACGGAAATTTCCTATTAACTTGTTACATAATTGAGCTTAACAACTTTACCAAAATATTTTATAAACAATTAAAAATATGAAGGCATGTTATTTAAAGAAGTAAGAGGGTACAAATAAAAAGATTCAAAACTGTTAAATATCCATTTTGCTGAAGCAGACGTTAAACACAAAAGAACATCATTTTCACACTAAAATCTCTAATATGACTTTTTATTATGTCATTCCTTGCAGTCAAAATGAAATGTCCATTATTTATCTAATGCTAAAATGTTATCTATTAACATAGTCTCACTAGAAAAATTTAAAACCAATGACTAAATGAATAAAATACAGCAGTATCATAAAGGCTTGTTTTCAGATAAGGCAAACAACATTCAAAATACTAGTACATACTTAATAGTAAGGAAGCAAAAAAAAGAAGAGTGACGTTTTATTCTCATCTCGACCATATAATCATTTGTGCACAGGCAAAAGAGAGGGAAATCATGGAGTTTGCTTGAGAAGCAGGAGGAGATCATTTGAAGATGAGGCTAGGATTTGTGAAAATGACAGGAGGGTTAGGGGTGGTTAATGAAAGAAACCTCGTGGCAAATGGAAAAAAAGAAATTAATACAAACTGTAATCACTTGAAATGAAGTTGCTTTTCAATTTCATTTGCAAGTACAATGCAGTGTAAGTTGATTTTAAAAGAGATGCTTCTAAAAAGCTTATAATATTGCATAAGTAACTTGTAATTAAAGTGGAAAGAAAAGAGAAAAACTAAATCAAATGCTTCTCTTTTTGAGTTCTTTTATTTTTCATTTTATTTCAGTGCATTGATTATTTTTTAATTCTGCTTTTTTGGTTTTCTGTCATATTTTTCTTACCTTTCTTTGGTTTTTTTCCTTTTTACTTGTGACTGGGTGGGTAAGAAAAATAATGTTAGTTTCAATTACACATATACATTAACACATAAATTTATATAGAGGTGCACAAATGGAACCTTATATATATATATATATATATATATATATATATATATATATATATATATATGCATGTAAAACCTTTATAGGTAGATAGATTGTATGGATATGCATATGCTTGAATTAAGCTGTAATTCAAGGTATTACAGTATATATAGATAATATAAAGGATATATATATATATATATATATATATATATATATATATATATATATATATATATATATATATAAACACATGTATAAATATGTGTACATGTATACACATTTGTACAAATATATTCTGAAATGTGCATACACATACACATATAAATTTGTCTTAAAATTTAAGGATATATATATATATATATATATATATATATATATAGATAGATAGATAGATAGATAGATAGATAGTTAGTTAGTTATATAGATAGATAGATATGCATATAATTTGGATTCTGCTAAGCAGACACTTCTTTATATTTGAATGGTTAATAGCACATCAGATCAAATGATGATTACCATTGGGGTTACAGGTTCAATTCCTCTCGGAGTAGCACATATTTTCTATGAAATTTCTCAAAGATTCAGGCCAGTAAATATAATTAATACTGTTTAATTAAAAAACAAAGCATTTACTTAAATAAATTGTATCTATAAAAAAATTATAAACAGCAAATATATTAAATAGTTGTCAGGCTTAATCCATTTCATAATATATATATATATATATATATATATATATATATATATATATATATATGTGTGTGTGTGTGTAGTGCCCAGTGAGTGGTCGAAGTAACAGAGTTGTAACAAATGGGGAGGAACAATGGCATATTTATTATTATTATAATCATTATATATATATATATATATATATATATATATATATATATATATATATATATATATAGATATGAACACACACACACACACACACACACACACATATATATATATATATATATATATACAGGCAAGGGGTGAGAGAAAGAAATAGTGAAATATAGACATATAGAAGATATGCAAATAAATAGATCTTGATCTATCTCTTTGTCAATGTACACACACACACATATATATATATATGTATATGTAAATATATATATATATATATATATATATATATATATATATATACATGCACAGACATCTACATATAATGCATATATATATAAAAGACAAATCATTAAAATATGTTTTAATCCCCTCAAATCATTTCAACATCCTTTGTGTGTGTCTTTGTTATTTATATGTATGAAGCTCTGTGTTTATCAGCATCTATATCTACATACACACATATTATACATGTATATATATATATATATATATATATATATATATATATATATATATATATATATATATATATATATCTATATATATTCATACTTTGCTTAATTTCTTACACTCACTATACACACACGCACATACATATATATATATATATATATATATATGCATGTGTGTGTATATATATATATATATATGTGTGTATATATATATATATATATATATATATATATATATATAAAAGCATATATATATATATATATATATATAAAAGCATAAATGTACATTTATTTATATCCATGAATATTAATAAATACACAAACATGTATATTTCTGTTCATTTGTGTTTATACACATATACACATATATATTTATGCATTTGCCATATAGATATAGATATATATTTTCATGAATGCAGATATACTACCACACATAAAGGTGTTTATTTGAACACAGTCTCAAATGTGAGTGTATGTGTTTGGGTGTGCATATATATATATATATATATATATATATATATATATATATATATTTGTTTTTATTTTATATTCTTAAACTATAAGTGTTTTATGCATATATATATATATATATATATATATATATATGTATATTAAGTATATATGTATATATGAATGTTGACACATCTATTCAAATATGTACATATAGGTAGCTCAATAGTTACGTTTGTATGTATGTATATCTATGTATATGTATGTAATTACAGACAATTTAATTTTGTTGCCTAATTAGACTAACTTTTTTGTGTGTAGTTGTCAAAGAACTTTTATGTTTGGTTAATGTCTCTGTGTTAAGTGTTCATTAAACTTTGATGGGAGGCTTTTTTATTCTTTCTCTGAATTTTCACTTTTGATTATCTTTTTTTTTTAATCTTGTGTTGTGTTGGTGAGAGACAGAAGAGTTTTGTTGCAAGGAGGGGAGGAGCTACCTAGATTGGAAAATGTAAATGGGTGGGGCATTTTGAAAAGAAAGAAAGAAAGAAAGAAAAAAGAAAGATGAAAAAAGAAAAAATGAGAAGAGAAAGATCATAAGAAATAACGAAGAAAATATTGAAGCAGAGAAGTGCAGAATGAGAAAGAGAAATGAATGAAGATGAAATTGAAAGAAAAATTGAAGAAAGAAGTAAATGAGAAAAGAAGAAAGGAAGAGTGATACATGAGATTAGATAGGAAGGAAAATGAAAGAAAGAAAAGAATTAAATAAAAAGGATACAATATAAGGGAAATAAAAGGAATAATGATGCAAAAGGTTAAAAAAAAAGAAAATTCAAAAGACATTGAGTTAATGAAGATAAAAGAAAAGAGAACAGAAATATAGAAGAAGAAGAAGAAAGAAAGAAAAATTATGAGATACAAGAAAGATTAGGAAAAATGAACATTGCAAGAAAGAAAAATAAGTGGAATAAGAAAGAAGCAAAGAAATAAAGAAAAGTAGACAGAGTAAGAAGCAAGAAAGAAGAAAGTAACAAACAAAAATAATCAGGATAAGAAAGGAAAAAAAGAAAAAATAAACAAAGAAACTAAAAAGAGTAGGATAAGAAAGAAAGAAAGAAAGAAAGAAAGAAAGAAAGAAAGAAAAAAGAAAGAAAGAAATACAAATGTTAAGAGGGAAGGAAAGAAAAAAAAAGCAAGCAGAATATGAAGGAACAAAAGATATTAAAAGCAAGAGAAGAGATTAAAAGAAATTAGCAAGGGAGAAGGAAGAAATGGCAATGAGGTATAAAAACCACTGCAAAAAGAATGAAAAATGGAAGAAAAAAAGAAAAGCAAAAGGAATAAAAAAAACAAAAAATACATCTTTAGATTTTTGTCAAAAACTCAACAGGTAAAAATTAATCACAGGTAATTAAAAGAAGACATCCTTCATTTGAAAAAAAATAAGAATTTTTTTCTTCACCTTCCTTCAATCATCAATTTTTCACTTCAATTTCACAAACATTTTTTTAAATATTTTTTCTTTCCATTTTTCTCAATTTTTAGTTTTGTATTTAAAAGGTTTTAATTTAACCAACTTATTTCTTCTTCTCCTCCTTCATTCTCTATCCACCTAAGACTTTAGGCATTATTTCTCTCAAAGAAATTATTGTCGTCTTTTCTGTGAATTTCTGACTTCCTAAGTATTAAAAATTACCCACACCAAACCCAGAGGAAATGGGGGGGATGACATTCTTCATTATTATCTATGTGTGTGAGTTGGAGAGAGGTGTTTGTACATTTGCACAAATAGGCACACATTAAAATTGTAAGCATATTAAATGTATTTACATGCTTAAAAATGCAAACACATACACATGCAGAGTTATACTTATGCATAAATAGAAACATAGACACATTATCAAGAAACTATATCTTATCTATACACAAATAATTCACTGAACAATAAGATATTTTCCATGACCATTTCTGTTGTAAAGTGTTTGATCCACACTAGGGATCCTATGTTGTTGAAATTGTGCTGTATATAACTAACCTCAATGAATAACTATAGCTATGAATTTACGTCTTTCTTTCTTTAAGTATATTTAAGTAAATGTTCTGTTTATAATAAACAGTATTAATAACATTTACCGGCCTGAATGTCCGAGAAATTTTCATAGAAAATATTTGTCCTCCGACAGGAATCGAACCTGTATCCTGTACAGAACTGTCATATAGCTTGACATGACCTAACCAACTGAGCCACAAAGGAACGTTCAATTTGCAATGTTGATTTTACTGCTTTTAAACTACAATCTTCCATGAATCTCTCACGTACATTCATATCTGCTCAAAACATATCCATATGTAAACAAATGACGTCACACATTATGAAATGGACAAAGTCTGACAATTATTTTAAGACATTTTTATGTTTATGCATTCTTTTTATAGATACAAATATTTAAGTAAATTTTGATTCCTGTTGGAGGACGACCATTTCATTTTCTATGAAAATTTATTGAAACATTCAGGCCGGTAAATGTTATTAATACTGTTTATTATAAACAGAGAATTTACTTAAATATTTGTGTCTGTAAAAAAGAATATATAAGCATAAAAATGTCTTAAAATAATTGTCGGATTTTGTCCATTTCATTATATATATATATATATATATATATATATATATATATATATATATATATATATTGTAATTTTGGTCTGATGAGGCTGGTATTAAAAATTTATCTGCTGAAATAAATTTATTAACGGATCGACAAGGAAGTTGTTTTAAATATTTTGACTCTCACTATTCCTTGTGGGGAGATGTTGAGGCATGTTAATGCTATCTTTAGTGACAAAGTATCACAATCAAAGGTGATTGGCAACTCACATGAATCAATGCATTTTGGAAGCACAGACACCCCACAAATTCTGTCTGTGGATGACATCTGGACTCTTGGCCAGCCCAGAGGCTATTACCGGCAGGACCCTATAGGAGGAAGCACAGCACCACTCCTCCCTGTTAAGAGAGTCATACTTACTCCCACCAAAAATTATCGGATTTTTCGATGAAATGTTAAGTTTTTTCCTTTGACATATATCATATTGCTCTGCATACAAAACATTGAGCTCTCTTCATCAATCTATTTGTTTGATATTTTATATTAAAAAGACCTACTTGGATTATCTTTTCCACTTATCAATTTGATATTACTATCTATATATATATATATTTAAATCTTAAATATTAAATCTCTCATCATGACCCTGTCAATATAAGTAATTCTGTAACCATATATTGTACTTCTTACTTCTGCTCAAAGTGAGACAAAAATTTAACATAAAGAACAATATATGAAAAATTAGGTATATTTTCTCTGCTTTCTTTTTTGAATAATTTTGTTAGTTTCTAAACTTGATGCATGGTTATATTTAGATTTTAATATTTGTAACTTTTATTTTTTAAATAATAATAAATTGGAGATTAATTAGTTATCTTGGTTTCCTATATAATCTAATATTAATTTTAAAGCATTAATAAATTGTATCTAGGGATCGTTGTCACATTATTTGAATTATCATAGACTTGTAATTTGATTGGCCATTATAGGTTGATATTGAATCACAATCAACACCATCACTTGACAAGACACAAGGAGTGTTGAAACAAAATGGCTATTTTTGTAGTGATGTTATAACATACTTATGTTATAAGTTTTAAATAAATATTATACATATATATATATATATATATATTGCCATAAACAGAAAGACTGTTTCGCTGTATCACAGCTCATCAGTGTGGCTAGACATCCGATTGCCTTAAGCCAGGATTGAAACCCAACTGCTTTGGCATCAGAGATTTTTCCCCTAATAGTGAGAAAGATAGAGAGAGCGTGAGAGAGAGAGAGAGAGAGAGAGAGTGAAGTGGAAAGAGAAATGTAAATTGGTATATATATATATATATATATCAGTGTGTGTGTGTACGATGTTGACAAGCACCCTACGTAATATCACTGGATTATTTCAAAAGCAATATTAACACAATATGGTATGTCAGTCAGTTATGTGCCATATGTGATACACGCCTAGGCAATCACGAATCTTTTGGTACATGACTGATCAGGCAGATTTTTTCCCACAGTAGGTTGCCATTTCTTTCTGCAATAGACCAGTTGCCATCAAAGTCTACAGAAGCCAGTCTCTCCTGCCATTTACCTATAGCTTGTGGGGAGAAGAAGAGGATTCATACCTTTCCCAAGGGTGTTAGCACATAAGCGAATGTAATGGATTTGACTGAAATTCAAACTCAGCTCTCCGATTCCTCAATCTGAGCCACTATCCATTACTCCACCGTGCCTCCTCTAATTTGGTATGAGAGAGAAAAAACAGACAAATTTTGCTAAATTCCAACAGACACCAATGGGCCCTAATATAAAAAAAATATTGACAAAGAAATCAACACTTTTCTGGTCTCTGGTTTTTAGATCTGAGAAAGGTAATTAAATTTATTTTCCCACTCATCCTAAAATGTCCCAATTCCTTATTACTTAAAGTTTTGTCTTTTTATCTATAAAGAAGCCAAACCTAAAAAACGTTGGTGAAATATGTAGATAAAAAGCTTTTCCACATTTTCCCATTTTCTCCATAATATATATGTGTATATATAGATCAAGTATGGATAGGAATCTAAGAAAATGATAGGATAAAGAACAAGTAGGAAACAGATCTTAATCTAACATGTTTCACTTTATTAAAGCTTCATCAGAGATCAAGATAGAAATGATGAAAAATGATAAATATATATATATATATATATATTAATAAAAATATACATTTGTTTCTCCCTGTTTGATGGAACTATGAGTTTCTTAGTATTTATTCTTAGTATAAAACTTAGAGCTTCTCTCGCACTTCCCAACTCCCTTCCTCTTACTTGCTTCCCATATAACTACAATCTTTAATGTAACATCAATTCCCGTTCTTCTTTTTATCCTTTCCTCAATCACTCCTATACCCAGTCTTTTCTCTTGCTTTCACTCTCTGTAACCCCTTGCATACTAGTGGCACTCTCGCCTTGCTTGGAGTGAAATGCTTAAAAACACACACACACACACACACACACACACACACACACACACATATATATATATATATATATATATATATATATATATATTAAGAAATGGACAAAGTCCAAATTTAATTTATTTTATTAAAAACGTTCTTTTTTTTATGTTTAACGTTCTTTTATAGATAAACAGTATTTAAGTATTTGCTCTGTTTTATAATAAACAGTTTTCATAAAATATTCTGTCCTTTGACAGGATCGGTTCCATAGGAAATTTTCTAAGGACGAATATTTTCTATGAAAATTTCGGACATTCAGGCCAGTAAATGTTATTTAATACTGTTTATTATAAACAGAGCATTTACTTAAATACTTGTATCTATAAAAAGAATGTTAAACATAAAATGTTTTTAAAAATATATATATATATATATATATATATATATATATAGTGGAATCTCCTATTATATTTGACGTATAAGGGTCAGGCACCTCAGTTCCTAAAAACCAACAGCCAGACACCAGCACATATGATT